ATTATTAAAATTAAAATAATAATAATAATAAGATGTACTTTTTAAAAATTAAAATATTAATATTTTAATTTTAAAGAGTTATTTGACACTTTTTTTAATTTCAGACGCCCAAATTCATAAAAATTTTAAAGTTTTTTTATTTTTTTTCAGTCTGGGTTACAATAGAGATGATAGAGAAAATGATTATATATATATATATATATATATATATATATATATATATATATATATATTTTGAGTTAATACATTTTAACAATGTATACCGAATTTTAGTAGACAAAAACATCCTTGTATATTATGGATTCTAAGTTTTATGGTTAAAGATATTTGAATAATTTTCATTCTCAAAATTAAAGAAAAAAAAAACCCAAATCCTTACTCACCTCCCTCATTCCTCTCAACCATTTCTCTTTCGTCTCTCTCACTCCAACATTTTCTCTGTCATCCCTACTGTTGAAAAAAATCAGAAACATTCATCTAACCATAATTCATTTGTTTCCACTTTAATAACAAAATAATAAAAAATGAACAGAGCAAGAACAACAAATTGCGGTGTTGCGGATTGCTTTTAATTAACTTATAACTCTTTTCGGATTCAAATATAAGAAAAAGATGAAAACAACTAAGATAAAAAAGAAGAATTCGAAAAATGATGAAATATTTTGTTCCAATTTAATTGAATCTAGTACAAAAGAAATAATACAAAAAAAATACATGGATTTGGAATTATATTTTGTTTCAAATTGCTAGTATTTTAGTTTCTTTTAAGTATTTTTTATGATATTGTTGCTCCCAACCTATCTATGAATCTAAGAAATAGCGAAAATTCTTGATTTCTCTCGATATCTCTCTCAATTCGAAAATCCAGGATTTGAATTGATGTCCTTTCATCGAATCCTCCTAATTGCATTAATTTATCCGAAATATTTCACTTCAATTGGAATTGTGTGGGTGAGAGAGAGTATGGAGACAAGAAAGAAACAAATTAGATAAAGTGAGGAAGGTGGATTAGGGTTAGTCGAGTGTTTATGATTTTCTCAGTTGGGGCTACAGTAGGATGACAGAGAAAATGTTGGAGTGAAAGAGACGAAAGAAAAAGGATTGAGAAGAATGAGGGAGGTGAGTAAGAGTTTGGGAGTTTCCTGCTTTTTTTTTTTAGAATGAAAATTATTCAAATACCTTGGACCTTAAAACTTAGAATTCATAGTATAATATCAGGGTATTTTTGTCTACTAAAACCCAGTACATAGTACTAAAATCTACCAATTAAAAAAAGAGCTTACGGAAGTTAGCAAACTCCATTTATATATATATATATATATATATATATATATATATATATATATATATATATATATATAAATTGATAGATGATATATAGGAGTAGCAGGAGCGAAGAGCCATGTTGACAATGGTGAAAATCATAACCAACTTCAGCAGCTGCTCAACTTATAACTGTCATACAAATGAAGCAAATTATCCCAGACCTCTGAAAGGTTTCATCTTCTTCAGACATTCTTTAAGAAAATGTTTATTATTTTCAAATTTGGACGTTCCTCGTAGTACTAGGGTGGGTGTCTCTTTCATGTTGGATGAAAACGCCAAAATTAGCAAATTCTGCGAGGTGGGTGATCTTCGGAATGCCATGGAATTGCTCAAAATGTCCCAAAATTCCGAGCTTGACTTGAACACTTACGCTTCTATCTTGCAGCTTTGTGCTGAAAGTAGGCGTCTGCAAGAGGGTAAGATGGTTCATTCAATTATCTCCTCCAATGGAATACCAATTGAAGGGGTTTTGGGTCCAAAACTAGTGTTCATGTATGTGAGTTGTGGAGACTTAAGAGAAGGGAGACGTATATTCGATCATACTCTCAGTGATAACAAGGTTTTTCTGTGGAATCTTATGATGTCTGAATACGCAAAGATTGGTGATTATCGCGAAAGTATATATCTTTTTAGGAAAATGCAGAAACTTGGCATTACAGGGAATTCTTATACGTTTTCATGCATCTTAAAGTGTTTTGCTACTGTGGGAAGGGTAGAGGAGTGTAAAAGAATACATGGGTATATTTATAAACTAGGCTTTGGTTCTCATAATACTGTTGTTAACTCCTTAATTGCAACTTATTTCAAAAGTGGAGGAGTTGACAGTGCACACAAGTTGTTTGATGAATTGAGTGATAGAGATGTTGTGTCCTGGAATTCGATGATAAGTGGCTGCGTGATGAATGGTTTTTCCCACACTGCACTTGATTTTTTCATTCAGATGCTTATTTTAAGGGTTGGTGTGGATTTGGCTACCTTGGTTAATGTTCTTGTAGCTTGCGCAAATGCTGGTAGTCTTTCATTTGGGAGAGCAGTTCATGGTCTTGGAGTGAAAGCTTGTTTTGGCAGGGAGGGTAGGTTTAACAATACCTTATTAGACATGTACTCAAAATGTGGTAATTTAAATGAAGCAATTCAAGTTTTTGGGAAAATGGGTCAAAAAACTGTTGTCTCTTGGACTTCATTAATTTCTGCTTATGTAAGAGAAGGTCTATATGATGATGCAATAAGATTATTCTATGAAATGGAATGCAAAGGCATTAGTCCAGATGTTTATTCTATGACTAGTGTCCTTCATGCATGCGCTCATAGCAATTCACTGGATAAAGGCAGAGATCTACACAATTACTTTAGAAAGAAAAACGTGACCTTGAGTTTGCCGGTGTGTAATGCTCTCATGGATATGTATGCAAAATGTGGAAGCATGGAAGAAGCTTATTTAGTTTTCTCTCAAATTCTAACTAAGGACATTGTCTCATGGAATATCATGATTGGTGGTTATTCAAAAAACTCTCTCCCTAATGAGGCTCTTAAACTTTTTTCTGAGATGCAAGAAGAATCAAGACCTGACGGCTTTACAATGGCTTGTGTTCTTCCAGCTTGTGGGAGCCTTGCTGCTCTTGACGTAGGCAGAGGGATTCATGGGTGGATATTGAGAAATGGGTATTCATCAGATTTGCATGTAGTCAATGCACTCATGGACATGTATGTAAAATGTGGGTCACTAATTCATGCACAGTTGCTCTTCGATATGATATCTGAGAAGGATTTGATCTCTTGGACTGTAATGATTACTGGGTATGGCATGCATGGGTTGGGAAATGAAGCAGTTGCCACTTTTCAGAAGATGAGGATTGTAGGTATTAAGCCTGATGAGGTTACCTTCACTTCCATACTCTATGCCTGTAGTCATTCTGGATTACTGAACGAGGGATGGGAATTTTTTAATGCCATGAGTGAATGCAACATTGAGCCCAAGTTAGAGCACTATGCTTGCATGGTAGATCTCCTTGCCCGCACTGGAAATCTATCTAAGGCGTACAACTTCGTTGAGACAATGCCAATTAAACCAGATGCTACAGTTTGGGGTGCCTTGCTTTGTGGGTGTAGGATCCATCATGATGTGGAGCTAGCAGAAAAAGTGGCGGAGCATGTTTTTGAGCTAGAGCCTTACAACACAGGATATTATGTTCTTCTGGCCAACGTCTATGCAGAGGCAGAAAAGTGGGAAGAAGTAAAGAAGTTACGCGAGAGGATTAGTAAGCTGGGACTAAAAAAGAGCCCTGGCTGTAGTTGGATAGAGGTCCAAGGAAAAAGTACCACCTTTGTTTCTGCAGATTCTGCACATCCTCAAGCCAAAACTATAGTCTCATTGCTGAATAATTTGAGAATAAAGATGAAAAGTGAAGGTTATTCTCCAAAGATGAGGTATGCGTTGATTAATGCAGACGAGACGGAGAAGGAAGCGGCTTTGTGTGGGCACAGTGAGAAGTTAGCTGTGGCTTTTGGTATATTAAATTTGTCCCCTGGAAGGACTATTAGGGTCGCCAAGAACTTACGAGTATGTGGTGACTGTCATGAGATGGTGAAGTTCATGTCCAAGACAACCAGAAGGGAGATTATCCTGAGAGATTCAAATCGGTTTCACCATTTCAAGGATGGCTTCTGTTCTTGCGGAGATTTCTGGTAAATACAATGAGGAAATTCAGTAGAGGGGAAATCATAATGATGCCATGTCAATTTACCCCTTTCACGATTAAATCTTATGCCAATCACGGTATCTGATTTGACATGGCACATTCATTGGCAAAGATAGTCAATGACAAAGCATAAGATGGATCAAGGATAGTCATAAATGCTGAATCAGAGGTTTGCAGTTCAAGTTTGACAGTCAAGAGAGGCAATTTACGCAGTTGATTTCTATTTGAAAATACTAAATTTGTCAATCACTGATAAACCATCCAAATTGTTGATATGGATTTGATTTGGAACCAAATAACTGAGGGGATCAAGTAGAGCTGCAGTATGTTTTCATGGAAAATAGATTATGAGGATGTTGGGATATGGGGGAACTGGAAGATCTCAGCTTCCTTGAGATTGGAATCTATGTGTGATTTCTGTCAATGTTAACTTTTGTTGTCTCTCAAGAAGGGAATCAAACCAAGACTGACCATACAAATGATATTGTATTTCTCTGTAGTTGAATGCTACTTCGATGCAAAATCTTCTCCCTTACACATCTGATGCAATTGTGAATTTCTGGATTCAAATTAGTTGCTCAAAAGGGTAAGTTGCGTAGCTTGTTAATATTCACATTAGGAGCAGCGAGGCATTATCAGTTTAGTCATGAATATTGTTAATACACTGTTAACTTTTTTTATTTACTGATTTTGGTTAACTATGGTCTATATATACTACCATATTCATTCTCATGACCTAATCAGACAAATAATGTGTCTGTCTCAAACATAAACTTTTGAATATGGCTTGTTCTATCTTCTTTCTTTCCCTCAGAAGTCCTTGGACTACACAGATATTTCCCATTGAGGCTTCGCCGCAATAATAAATAGTTATCAGGCATCCAAGATGAACAAATAATAACTATGGTTATATAAACTAAAAGATAAACCAATGAAACTGTGATCTCAAATACATACATCTGTCAATTCAACCTAATGTTCATTTAATCAAACGAATGAATCAGGAATGCGAAATGGGTGATGCTTTTACCTGTATATAAGATGGGGCAGTCCTGTCCTCAAGTGGGAACATGTTTTTGTCTTCATACATAATGACTAGCTAAGTTATATTGCTGTTGGATATTGACAATCACGTCCATCACCATCTCGCATGTAACCTTTTGTTTTCCATGAAAAAATAAAGGTAATAAATAAAGGAACTACGTGAGTGCTGCCAAAAGATTAAACGAAATCATTATATTTTCAAAGCTATCTAGCAGTACAAGATAAGCTGGTGACCTTCTTATATAATTACCCAATTTTTTTGAAGATTGTAATTCCGAAAACAAAGCTGCTATGCTTATGTATTTGGATAATTCATGGTAGCTATGACAACTAATAACCAACTACCTAACAGTAGCACTGACTACAAAACTCAACCAGAGTCAGACATCACCAATCATACATTTATCATTAACAGTGGCTTATATTAATTGTGGTTAATGACGCCGTGGCTTTTTTTCCTTACCAATTCGAGCTTACGTGAATTTCTGCAACAGCTCAAAGCTAATCTCGAAATAGATGATATATGAACCAAATTGGTTACCTTAGATCCATACTATGCATGTCAATACTAGTTACCAGACGTCAGATATTCTCATATATAACATAAATGAGTAAATTGTTAGATGAGTTAGTATTTTCACCTCTTTTTCTCGTAAAATACATCAATCATTAGAGCTATAAATGTGAGCTTGTCATGTAAAATACATCAATAGAAAATTAATTTTTCTCATTATCTGGTTTTTATCTTCATGTGATGAATGATTTATATTGAGAATAATTCAAATATGAGTTAAAAAATATATATATTGGCATGTTTACACTTTGTTTGCGTGCAGTTGTCCCTGCGGACATTATAATGTTGAAATATTTTGTATGAAACCTGGAGGATCAAAGGGGAAGAACCTAGAAATTCACGTGTATGAACGAATGAATATGCATAATAGGCTTGTACATTTTGAGAGTAGAAATATACGTATGAACAGTTAACAATAATTATTTAGAAAAAAATATTTTGATATAGCTTTTTTTATAATATTTGATACAGCATATATATACGTGTATTTTTTTAATAATTTATTATTTATTTATTATTATACTGGTGTCGTATTAAAATATTGTTAAAAAAAACTGTATTAATGTATCGTTACTCTAATTATTTAAAAGTTACAATATCACTAAAAAAATTATATGATTTTTATTTATTGATAAGGTAAGACTTAATGGTTGATATTAAAATATTCTTTCACTTCATACTATCCTTCACATCTTTGAGAAGGATTAGAGTGTACTTTTGAAATAATATTTTTGTTACCAAATTTGAATTTATTTTGATATACGAATAGTGTAAAGGTTTTAACTTTCATTTAATAATAAAGTTTCGTGTAATTATAAAAAAACATTCATGATACAAAATAAAAATTCACTTATTTTATATCATTAAAAACGTACATAAGCCTTAAAAATAATTTGTTTTTGTAATAACCTTTTAAAATTCATATTTAAAGTAATTCCTAATTGGTCAATAAAAAAATTATAATCTTAAAGTATGTTTAACTTCTTAATACAAGTTAAAAAATGAATTTTGAAGCTTAATTTAATATTATTAAATTAATTTTAAAAATGAAATTTACACTTATCTATACATTTTAAATTAGTTTTATTATTGGTGAGTATGTAACTTCTAACTATACATTCTATTGTATTAAAGATACAGGGGTTGAGATAAAGATAAAGTCCAATGTCGAAAGTTATTTAGTATTTTAATTTTAAATAGAATTTCGATTAATAATAATGTCAAATTTTATTGTAACAAGATATAAAAATAGAAGCATGGTTAAGTGTCCTTTGTCGAAACCATATTGAAGGAAACTTCTGAATCTTCTCATTATCCAAAACTTCATTTACTTTTTAAAATCGGCATCTTGAATTAATTCTTAAATTCTATTTTCATAAGCTTTTATTTCCTTTAAATTAATCATCAAAAGGTGTATTTTTTTATACAGAGATATCATAAGCTCACACTGTATCTCAAGTAGTCTTTAACAGTGTATTATGAACAAATAAACTTTACGGAGTATTTTTTTTTCCAATGTTTTCGAAAAAAAAAACAATACCTTTTTAAACTTATTCTAGTCTCAATCATATTATAAATAATATTTCATTTATGAAATTTATAAAACAATATGTGATTAAATTATTTAGCCAAATGTATCTCTAAGTGAATATATCAAGCATTTTACAAGAAAATTGTGAAACATGATAATGTGATATAACAACGTTTTAAATTAAGAACTTAGTCTTAAATTAATATTTAGATATTAAAAATACAAAATAATATCAATAATCATATAATTTAAAATAAATAAAATCTCATGAAAATTGTCCTATGAAGAATGTTTTTTAAATATGCGGTAGTAAAATGAAAAAAGAAAAAAAAAAGTGAAGCACGTGGGGGAGGGTACCTGATAAGTGGTTAATGGGGTTGGAAAATGTTGGTAGAATATAATGGTTTCTTTGGAATTTAACGACCAATAAAGGCCCTTTTCTTTAAGATGACAAGTTGGATACAGATTGCAGGATAATAAAACAACTAAAATTATTAGGACTAATAGTCAAATCAAATCTTCTCCTTTCTATCTTTCTATCCTCCACAAAAAAGCTTGTTGCGGCTCAAACATGGCAACTTCAGTCGCTGCAACATGAATAATTCTTGAGGAAATTGACAACACAATTTCACCATCTAATTTAATGGAAGATTTTAATGCAAGTGGGACAGTATATTATATAAAACAATTTACAAACCAGACTTCACCAAACAGTTTATACTTACAACAAGCTTCTGACTTTACTTGTCAACTGGTGGACCTCACAAAAAAATTGTGTTGAAGATTGAACTCATGTAAACAGCAGAAACAAATAGTGACCGAGGACAAGGTAATGGAAAATGGATCACATCACAGCATATGATGAAACAAAAAATACAACTAAGCTCGGCATATGACGAAATACATTAGCATCACCCTAACTTATGTGCAAATCAAGACAGCTCATATCCAATGTTTAAACAGTAACACAAACCATAAATCGGACAAGAGCCAAAGCCAGAGCCAGATATCCACAATCATACAATTTCCAGTTTGCAAATAATACCACCAACCGTTATCTACTTAAGCAACTGTCCTTCTCTCCTACTCAAACTACCAAAAAATTTCTCTAGATGTGCCCACAAATAATAGAGCATCACTGTTTTAGCCACATGCAGAAGACCTTGAAATAAGTATCATACCATCCAGCTATTTTGCTAAATCTTCGAAAGTTTTTGCCTCCAACTTCTGCGTTGAATCTATGCATAATTTCAAGAATCTCGAAAGCAAATAAACACGAATTTTCCCAGCTAACGAAGTAAAAAGGCAGAAATTATTAATGCAAGAAAGAAATGAAAAGGGTGTGTAGTTACGAATCACAAGTATGAAAAACAAAGGCTTATAGCACAAGTAACACAGATCTTTAAGATACCAAAACCCACATGCACCATTGTCCACCTTCTACTCCAAACAACGAATAAGACGGTATCAAAAAATTAAAATCTGGAAAGTAGCATCCCATTATAAAGAAACGCACTACACTGTTCATGAAGTCGATTCAATGTCTCTCCTGACTCGTTTTTCCAAATATCCCCACCAAGATACAACAATTTCGTTATTTTATTCTTTATCTTCCAATTTTGTTTCGGCAGTTACATATTCATTATCTTTCCTCCCCTCCAACCTACTCTGTAAACCCTGTATAATAATAATTAATGACACTAATACTACTACTAATAATAATAACAATAAATAAATATATCAAACAGGGTGCACTCAACCGAATTTATGAATTTCCTAATCTAAAAATATCCAAAATTTCCTCTAACGACAGCACTTGGAGCAGAGGATTAAGAAAACAATGAGAAAGACAATGGAAGAGAGGGCAATGGCGACACCGAGAACGAACTTGTTAGGACCATGATGGTGCTCCTTCTTGTGTCTAATCCCCTCCCCATCACCATCATCGTAATCATCGTCAGTGCTGTCATCTGCGGACGAATCCTTAGAGGGCGGAGTCACCGGCATTCCGTACTTATCACAGGGAGAGATGCCGAGCTTCAATTTGGAAGAAATGGTGGAGTGGTTGTAGCAGAGGTTAGTGTTGCCACCAACCTTTAAGACCTCCAATCGCTTGATGAAAGTGAGGTTAAAGGGCATAACGCCGCGGAGGTTGTTGTTGGCGAGATTCAAGTACCTCAGAGACTTCATTTGAGAAATGAACTTGGGAATGGTTCCGTTGAGTTGGTTGGAGCTCAGATCCATGTGAAGTAGGCTGGGGAGGGCCGAAATGGAATCGGGGATGGAGCCGGTGAAGGAGTTGGAAGCGAGGGAGAGGTTTGTGAGGGAAATTAGGTCTCCGAGGGAGGAAGGGATTTCGCCGGCGAGGGAGTTGGAGGAGAGGTTGAGAAGTTGGAGGGAGTCGAGCATGGTGATGGAGGGGGGGATGTTGCCTTTGAGGCGGTTGTTGGAGAAATCTATGAAAGTGAGGTTGGAGTGGAGGTGGCCGGGGAGGGATCCGGTGAGGTTGGCGTTGGAGATGGTCAGGGTTTTGAGCTTGGTCATGTGGGCGAGGATGACGAAGGGGCCGGAGGCTTTGATTTGGCCGCCGGAGACAGTGAGGGAAGTAAGGTTCGGGAGCTGGGAGAGCCAGACGCCGGAGATGTGGCGGAAGCCGTTGACGGAGGAGAAGGAGGTGAGGGAGGAGGCAAGTTCCGGGGGGAGACGAACGGGGGAGAGGGGGCAGTTGAGGAGGGAGAGGGAGCGGAGGGTGGAGAGGGACTTGAGGGCGGTGAAGGAGAGGGAGAGGTAGGAGGAGCAGTTGGCGAGGCGGAGGGAGATGAGGTGGCGGAAGGGTTTGGAGGAGTCGCAGATGGTGGCATTGTGGAAGGAGGGTTGGGCGCAGGGGTCTCTTGAGGTGGGTATGTTGAGGGATTCTAGGGCTATCACTTGCTTTGGGTCAAGGGTGGAGGTAGTGGATGTTTCCGGTGATGCTGGAGATGATGTGGGGGATGGGGTTGGAGGGTGAGGGAGAGAGAGAGATGTGGCAATGGGGTTGGAGAGCAGGAGAAGGAGGAGAAGGACAATGAAAGCAGGTGGAAGAGGTCGCGGCGGCGGCGGCGGTTTCATGGTGGTGGTTTGTCAGGAACACATGAGATTACGAGAATGAAGTCTAGTGTGGGAACTCTGAAGTGAGTGACAGAGCAGAAAACAGAGGTAACATGTAGCTGTAGTATATAATAATAAAGTTCTTCCAACTAAAAAAGAAACTTTGTTGAAAACAAAAAAATTACTCTATTATTAGAAAGAAATTAGTTTTCCACCGTGGCTGAAAGATATCTTTAATATAAATCAATGAAAAGTTAGATATAGCACAACTAATAAATAATTAGGTTTTTTAAATGTAATGAAAAAAATGAAGGTATGTTTAACTTAAAATCATGAGAAGATTTTCATAAAGTGTAATATAAAATTACGTATTTGAGTAGAGGAGTTAAAACCGATTGAAAATGATGTTAGGTTATTTAAGCAGACGTGTTTGATTTGGGGGAAATTAGAAAAGTGTAAATTGGGAAGTGAGCGGTTTGAAGGAACAACGGTCAAGATGGGGAATTTTAAATGACAGAGAAGAGAAGAATGAAATATTAAAGAATGGGTGGGCATGTTTTTAAATTAGGGTTGGAGGGGTATCTTAGAGGTACTCCGTGATTAGATTTTATTGTTAAGGACATACACTATTTCTTTTTATTACAACTCTTCTTCTTTAAAGTTTAATGTTTTTTTTAATTAAAACAAATTCATTCATATAAACATTTTTCGCTAAATTATTATTTGTGACAAGAACATTCTTTAATTGGTGCTTACAAGGATTTCAGTGTCATTTAATTTCATCAAATTCTATTTCGCTATATGCTCACATATTCAATTAAATTGTAATGCGGACATATTTATTATTTAAGTTAAAAAGTTAGGAAATAAAATAAGTGAAATTAGTATATTTTTTATTTTTAAAATATGGTATAACCTTGGGTCTTTGAATTTTTTTTACAAGGAACTTGCCTTATAATCTCTTATAGATGACAGTATCTATTGGGTTGTTCTTCACACAATATATTTCTTGTAATTATTTTATTATTTAATAAATATTATAAATATAGTTTTAAATAAGGGGTTTGTTAACGCGCGTACGCCTATTTTTCAGTTGGTACATTTTAGCAATGTGTACCGAATTTTAGTAGACAAAAATACACTTATATATCATGGATTCTAAGTTTTAAGGTTATGGGTATTTTAATAGTTTTCATTCTCAAAACTTAAAAAAAAAAAAAAAGAAACCCCCAAATCCTTACTCACCTCTCTCATCCTTTCTCTTTCATCTCTCTCACTCCAACCTTTTCTCTGTCATTCCTACTATAGCTCCAATTGAAAAAATCATAAACACTTGCCTTTAAACAATTTGCCTTTGTAAAGAGTTGAGTTATTGACATATCACCTTCAGGCAAAGGTTCATTCAAGATCTCTTCAATTTCACCATCTTTACTAACCTCCCTAATTTCATCATCTGCATATGTTGAATCAACATCTCTAAAAAAACCCTCCAGGCCAATTACCAATTCTTTTGGATGTCATTATGCTTGTGAAAATTAGATTAAATTATATACGACAAAAATTATAAAATGAAAACTCATTATAAAGTCATTTTTTGTAAGAAATTGTTTAAGAACGAGTGTTTCTGATTTTTTTTCCAGGCCAATTACCAATTCCTTTGATGTCATTATACTTGTGAAAATTAGATAAAATTAAATAAAGACAAAAATTATAAAATAAAAACTCATTATAAAATCATTTTTTGTAAGAAATTGTTTAACAGCGAGTATTTCTGATTTTTTCCAGGTCAATTACCAATTCCTTTATGCTTGTGAAAATTGGATAAAATTATATAAGACAAAAATTATAAGATGAAAACTCATGTGAGAAAGATGAAAGAGAAAGGGTTCAGAAGAACGAGAGAGGTGAGTAAGGGTTTGGGGGTTTCTTTTTTTTTTTTTTTAGTTTTGAGAATGAAAATTATTAAAATACCCTTAACCTTAAAACTTATAATCCATTATATATAAGGATATTTTTGTCTACTAGAACTGCTAAAATGTACCAACCGAAAAATAGGTGTACGCGCGTTAGCAAACTCCTTTAAATAATTAGTTCGTTTATTTTAAATTTGTTTAAAAATACATACAAAGAAACTTTGCATCTCATCATAAATTGAAAATAAATCATGCATAAAAAAATCAATTGTAATGGATTATGGATTAATATATATATATATATATATATATATATATATATTAAAAAAAATAAACTGGAGATATCTTATACTTAAATACAATTGTATAGTTCACGTTATAATTAAATTTTAGAAATAAAATCAAAATTCACTTTACAACTAAGTTATCTGTGATAAGATGACAAGCTTACTGCATACATACTATGAACAAAAAACACATTTACACTTATATCTAACATAATTAACAATAACTATTATTAAAAATAAATTTAGGTTGAGTTTTTGTCTTGTAATGATTTAGAAGGGTTGGTGTAATTTACTAATTTGAATCTCAATTTATTTTAATTATTTATTTTGAGACGTAGGATCGAAGTCAACTCACACGAGCAATTTTTTTAGAGTTTGAGATCTCTAGATGTTGTTTTTTATTTAGAGTTTTATGTGACAGTTTCTCTAATACCATTTCGAGAATCACTAACTTCGATATTAAATCTGTATTAAATATAATCACTTATTTTTTTACCTATATTTATAAATTTTGTAGTAGACATTTGATTAGTAAAGACTTAATTACGACTCAATTAATACTAATTACATTTTGTCTTAAGTTGTCTATAATTAAGATTAATCTCATTTAAGAATAAACATTAGGTTCTCTTCCTGACCGTTCAATTTACAAGTATTGTATGTTGACCATCCAGTCAGACTAAATTAGACCGTACAAGTTTTTTTATTTTCTAGTGTTTTATAATGTATTGAGAAATTTTTTCTGTCTTCTTCCAATTGGACTATTTTTAGTTCTCTCAATTGAAATCTTTAAATCTCTAGCCTAGCTTTATATATATTTTTTTTCTGATTGATAATTTGACTTGGTTATGATGTCAATAACAAAGGTTTCACAGTTTCAGTTTCAAAGCCAGCCAGGCATAGAAGGAGAGGGTTCTAAGAAAGAGAAAAAGACAAAAAGAAGTCATGAATCGTTATGGTTGGCTTTTCAAGAAACCCTTACAAACAAGTGAAATTACTTTCAAATACTTTGACATAAAAACATCCTATTAACGTGATGTGTTGTTGTCTATAATGCACAAATGTGGATAACGTGCACAAACAAAAAACTAGGTTATAAATCCAAAACTAGGGATTAGATTAGGTCATAAATCCCAACTTAGTTTTCGACACCGTGAAACGAACTTAATTATAGTGTTCGTGCACTTACTTAGTTCAGTAATTCAACTTTTCTTCGTTAATTGTGATCACGCGAGATGACTGGATAATATTGACTCAAACTAGATACTAAATGGTAAGTAGGATGTGGACAATGTTTATTCGATAATTGCTTCAGAACCACTCTGATTTCTCTCGTTTTGAATTTTGATTGGGGAATTAATATTTCTTGTCACATCACCTAAAATTTACACAAACCAACAAAATATAAGTTAATTTATAGTATATCTTTTATATAATTTATTTTTTATTTATATATAAATTAATTCTATCTTTTTTATTTTTATTTTTTCAATAAATAGATTTTTTGAAAAATTTGCTCCAAGTATTCCTTTTTTTTTCTACTTATGGATATAAATATCACTCACTAATTTTATATTTTTAGCAGCACCACTTATTTTGATTATGCATAGTAAGTTTGCTCGAATTGAAGTAATTTGAGATTTTTTAAAGTAATCTGAAAAAAAAAAACATCAGTCTTTAAAACTCAAACAATCCCTGCTCAATTACAGGCTCTTATTTTTAATAACAAATGAGTAAATAATATTAATAATAACAAATAAATAAATAAAATAATAGTATGATAAAAAAATATTTCTCTTCATTTATTGTAATTTTCTTCCATCAAACAATTCTCATTTTCAATTTATTTCTATTTTTCTTTTCTTTTCTATTAATTTATTTTCCTCATATTTTTTTCCAATTTGTCAAAAGCTAACAAAGCTCATAGTCTATGAAACTATGATTTTAGTTTTCACATCATTTTACAGAAATAAGAACAGAATTTTAAAATAAGGGTAAATTCATAATGACACTAGATTAGATCTCCACTTATTTTTTTTATATATATATATATATATATATATATATATATATATTATAAATTGAAGTTAAGTCTGTGATATCACCAACAAATATTATTTTAAAATCAGTTATTCAGAAGTGAAGACCACAGACGAAAACCAAAATAAAATATTGAATGAAACGTAGAGCAATGAAAGTGCACTTTCACACTCAAAATGTAAAATAAGTATCTGTTACTGTTATTTTGAAACTCCAGGTATTTTTTATTTTATATTTCAATATCTTTTATTTTACAAATGCAAAAGTTAACTTTTTTAAATTTTTTAATGGTTAAAACAATCTTTAAAGTAGGTTATTAAAATAATATTTTCCATAATTATTTTATCCTCTTGAAGTACATGAAGAGTTTACCTCTGGAAACCATTATTTTATACAAAGAAATAGTCACAATTATCAATAGTTTCACCGTAACCTATTTAACTACTTTCAACCGGTGGTGCATGACCTGATTGATACCGTTTATTACACGTAAATTAAGTATAAAGACTTGTGAGAGTTAACTTTTTGTGAGAAGTTGTAGATCTAAGACACGCACGCCCTATAAAATTGTGTTTGTTTGTCCCACTTATAATATTTTTATTTTTTATTTTTTAAATAATGTCTGTGACAGTTTGTAAATCATTCCACATCAGCATGACATGTTTATTTATACTTAACGTTAAATGCATTTCAACAGAGGACTAATACCGCTTAAATCATCATCCTGAATTCATAATCCATATTCTGAACATATGATAAAGAAAGCTTTTTAAAAATCATTGATTACACATAGGTATAGGTTGGATAAGGTATGAATAATCTATTATTTAACTTGCAAAATAAAATAATTGTCTCATTATTAATTAGATGTTTATTTAAAAAATATCTATGAATTTTAAAAAATAAAGAGATAC